TACATACATACATACATACATACATACATACATACAAACCCAAGCATACGGCCACATTCACTTACATTGTATGTTGAGGAATGCTTTGGCAAACTGAAACTCGCCCTCTGTATTGTTGACACGGCACTCGTATTCACCTAAATCGCTCATCATAGTCGGATCGATGCTGAGGCTGCCATCGGGGCCCGTATGACAACGTCGAATTAAATCCTGTACATCCTCTAGTGGCGTGCCATCTTTGAACCAGCCAATTGTCGATGTTTCTGGGTATTTCATTACACAATGGAAGAAAGCTGTTTGACCCTCCATAATCGTTTGATTCACTGGCGGTATTTTTATGAGCGAGCCACCTGTTTATGCGAAGAGAAAATGAGGAAAAAGTTTAAAGGTGAGAAGCAAAAAAAAAAATTGAAACGAACAAAAGAACGGCTAAATATAGTTGTGTATGTGAAGCCTTATTTGTTGTTGGCACAGCATGCTTGCGTATTAGCTGCGAGTATTTCGAACATATTTTTGCAACAAAGCATGTAGAGCTCAATGCATTTAGTTTTTTTTTGCAGCACTCCCTATTTATTGTTAGCCAATTTCTGCGCTTGGATATTCTTGCACGTATATAATGTTTTTTTTTTTTTAGTATTTTCTGATGAGATTACCGCAACTTAAATCTATTTTTATTCTGCACCTTTTTGTCGTTCACTTGCTTTGTTGTATTTCGCTTGTCATAGTTACTCACCTTGCACGGCTAAATGGAAGAGCGTACCATTGTTGCGTACACTTGGCGTACGATTGGGGAAGATGATTTGGCAGTGATACCAACCCTGATCCGATTCACGTATGGCAGTGAGATTAACAGATGCTTTTCCATATTCCGGATGATTGGTGACAAGGCTTAAGCGTCCATTGAAAAGTTCACTGGTGATGGACTCACCCTCGTACCAGGTGAAGATTTTTTTATTCTGAAAGAAAGTGGGGGAATACGTAAAGATTTGAAATGATTTGATAAAGTTTGTGCTGAACATTTTGCAATAAAATATTTTAAAATAGAGAAAAGGGACAGTTTAAATATCAGAGTTTTTTTGATTGGAATCGTTTGTGATGAGTTGCGAAAGGATTTACATTCCTTCAAATGTACAGAGTAAAGCCACAGCCAGCCAGATGCGGAGCGCTCCGAATATGGAGTGAAAAAGGAATGAAGAGGCAGTCAAAATGTTTTTTTGTTCTTGCCTTGTTCAAGGACTGTAAACATTTGAATTTAATTGAAAAAATTAGTATTTTCAGTGTTCTGTAAAAATTAAAATTAATAATTTATTATTATTAAACAATTCCAAACGAAACTGGGAATGGCAACGTCACTCCCCAATATACCCAGTACTGTTTCTTAAAATGTCAGACTCGATTGACTCAAATAAATTTAAATGAAAGGTATGAAATTTGAAGAAAAAACAATTACTTAGATTTTATGCACACGGCCCATTATTATTATTTTTTCATAAAAATTCTGAAATGAATTTCACTGTAGTTTTTCACGCTTGCCTGGTTATCAGGTTGTCTGATTAAAAATATGTTTTCTGTAGTGTATTTTATTGTTATTCAACAACAAAGTACGCTACGGAAAAATTATTTAGACTTAGACTTTTTTACTGGTTTTTCTTAAAAATAAAATTTGCGTGATTGAAATGAAAATTTAACCCACGCACGTTCACGCCAGAAAAAATTTCAGTTACGCACAATCACGGAAGTTATGTGATTTTCTCAAAAATTTACTCACGTTCACGCGTGAACACGACATGACGTGTTATGTAGAAATTCACTTGTTTTTTTCATCTTTATTTGGAATAATTTTTTTTCGTATGTTCCGCGTTGAGGGCCAAATGGAATTCATTCTCAAAAAATTGTCATCAAAAATTCATAGGAAATTTTATTTTATTTTTTTTTTTATTTTTTTTNTTTTTTTTTTTTTTTTATTTTATCCATGTCCATATTGCTCTATGCAACTCCTGACCCGCGGTCATTGTATTTGCAAACCTCCGATTGAACTTCTGCCATGAGATCGCTTAACCATTTTCCATTCGTAGGCGATCTAGAAATTTAGGTCTCTTCTTTATTGTCATTACAAGATCAACACGCACATTGTGGATAACATGATTTTGGTATTTTATGAAAAAAAAAAATAGCAAAATGACCAACTAACCATTATAGGAGTATGTATATTTTAAAGCCTGACTGCAAAATCCTTACTTTTGACGGAAAAATTGAGCCTTAGACTGACTTTACTTACTTGCTTGCTTACTCTTTATTTCTATAACCAATTTACCAAGCTTGGTAAGAAAAGCCCAAATACGGCTTTATTCAAACCACGATTTTTTCATTTTATTAACAACCGTTAAATACGTTGCTTAATTTTTACCTGATTTGGTAAATTTTTTTTTTTATCGATTTTGTTAAATTTTATTTTTTTAACATATCCATTTATTTTCAAACAACAATACAAACTTCTATGCTTATCATTAATTTATGAAGCAAGTACTTGTTCCATATGTTTTTTTTTTTTTTTTCTAATAAGGTCAAGAATCTGACAGCAATACTCTCAACATTTATATTTTTAATAGAGCAGTTGAATACAATTTGCGAAATATAAGTATCAAAAATTTCAACAAATACCATTTTTAATGCCTTCCTAATTGCGGCGTATGAATTTATTTGCAGGCAATTTCTAGCACACAAATAGTGTGATTAAGAGCATGCATGTTGTCTCATAAAATATGAACTGCATACAAAGTATGATACCATGTACTAGATATACAAATATGTACAATGTACAATTTCAGATAGGTAATCAATAGATGTTTACGCATATTAATCTCGTCGTTTAAAGTACAAAACCGCGTATCAAGAAAATGCAAAACCCGCGTATGTGAGGTTGCCCAAATTTTATAGGAGAGAGTAAAACTTGTCTTATTTCTCTTTTATCATTAACTACTTTTTCTTCTTATCGATCTTTAGTATGAATGGATAGGGGCGTGATTCCAGCAGCTATCGGAAGCAAATATCTTTTTTTTTGACAAATTCCAGTTACGAGCTTGTGTACTTTAAACAACGATATATATACATATTAGGACATTAGATTATTCGCCGCTTTTTCCGAAACCGGTTTCAGAGTTATTCGCGATTTTTAAATTAAGAAAAAAAAACCGATTTTATTTTACATAGTTTTCATCAATTGAATATGCAAGTCATGACGAAAAATTACAATTAAGCTGTTGCAAAATAAGTGCAACGTTTTTTTTTATTGGTATCAAAAATGATAAACTGTCCATAACCAAATGGCCTAGCATATAATTTTAAAACTGTTTAGGGGTATCCCCTGAAATGGAAAAATCCTTGAAAACTTCGAAAAACTCAGAACTTTTATTGAGAACTCAAAATTTGAATAAAACAAAAAAACGGTTTTGTTCGATAAGAAAAAAATCGGTTTATTCGATATTCGAAAAATTCAATATTTCGTAGAAATGGTACAGAATTCTTGAAAATCAATATTTTTCGATCGAACAACTTTTTTTCTCTGGAAGAGGCTTTCTATAATAATACCCAATTGCTTATTTTACCATTTTCTGATTCTAACGATTTTTATGGCTCCCTCTCCCTCCCCCCATTGCATTTCTAAATATTTTTTGATTAAATAAAACAGGAGTATATTTTATTTATATATAACAATTATGGGGGCTAGCCCATATACAAAAATTCTGACTTTACTTATTTTGGACCACCCTAATTTACATCCATATATGTATCTATGTATACCATTTGGGCTGTCAACAATTAATCCCACATGCAGATAAATTTGACAATGCAATAGCTTATTGCTTATTATTTTTAATGCATTTTGCATATGTGCTTGTAGATACTTGTACATACATATNTTTGTATCTATGTATCTTCCTATTACCATTTGTCATTGGCTTTGTTTATTCCGCCTGTTTATTTCACTAATTCAATTGACCGCCCGCTGTGTGTGGTTCCGGGTTGTGGGGGGAGTAACATTGAAGCAGTGTTCGAACAAAGCACCCAAATATGTAGGTACAGTAAATGCAAGAGCATATCGTTTCATATTGTTGTTGTTGTTGTTGTCATTTCCCTAATACTCAATGAATGCAGTTGCAGCAAATACAATTTACAAATTCATAAATGATTGCGCGTGCATACATACATACATACATACATACATACATACATATATGTATGTATATGAGTGATTGTCTGCTTTTGAATTAGCCCGCAGGTCTGCTTTCATTATCAGCAGTGCGATACGATGACTGCTGCAGACAAAACATTGGCCTGACATTGAATGTGAATCTGACTGAATCTGAGTTGGCATGCGAATCTGCAACGGTGCGCAAATTTTTAATTTTTTTTGTTTGCGTTTTTTTTTGCCATATCTACAATTCTTATCAAAGGAATGATACATCAATGCAAAATGTGCAAATCAAAAGGGCGTTCTGCACGCATTTCAATTCAATCCCAGTTTTTTATGCGAGAAAAAAAATGCTGAAATTCATACACTTATGGGAGTTGGCCTGACAAAATAGCAGTAGCACTAGCAGCAGCAGCAGCAGCAGCGGCAGTGGAGCATTAAACTGTTGGCACGCGTTTCAATTATGGAGCTTTGCTTTTAGCAATTCGCGGTATTCGCTGCTGGGTGCCTCTGCGGCGTAGAGGCCATGAAAAAGCCAGCAGACCATGAAAATGGATTTTTTTTTCGTGCGATATAAAGGAGATGGGCAAAATACTTTTATAGTGAACTTGCTTTGCCAGGCCATTACCTAAAATTTGTATATATTAACCATGTAGATTTCAGTTCAAGCAAATATAATTTTTATTTTTCAAAATATATAGACCTTATATTTTAATTTTGCCAAAACCTGCCGCTGGGTGCACTAAAGCTAAAAATTGATTGCAGATTCAGATTCATCGAACCTCGAAGACCTTTTTTTGTAGTATAAATATATCTGCATTGATCAATTTTGTTTGTTTTAAAAGCTGCTCTGCGACCACCAAATTCAAATTGAAAAAAAAACGCTTGTTAACGTCAACCTACGAAAACTGAGGGATAATTTTTTCCTATACAATCCAGACTTTCAGACAAACTTAGTTTCATCACTTCCCCAGCCGCCTGCCGAACAGTGTACTGATGCCCAACCCTG